TGGAATGCGCGACCGATATGGGAATGATGAGTGGAGTGGTATGATCGGCGCAGCGAGGAAATTGAAGGTAAATCAAGTCCCCATGCCTCCTTGATGGCATCTAGCTAACTGTGAGCAGCCAATCGCGGATAAGCTGGGTGTCAGCCAGTCGCAGTTGTCGCTCGCATGGTGCCTGAAGAATCCGCATGTATCTGCGGTGATCACTGGCGCATCAAGGCCAGAGCAGGTGGTGGACAACTGTGCAGCCTTGAAGATTATAGACAAGCTTACGCCAGATGTGATGGCTGAAATCAACGCTGTGGTGGGAAGCGTTCAGCTAGATCCTGCTCGACAAGATTAAAAACACTCGTTAGCTTTTGAATCAAAATAGACCTCCTTCACCAGTGATGTGACAATGGAAACGTCGGCTGATAATGTCCGTATTCTCATCTGAACGCCTGAAATGCTACCGGGACCGCACGCTATGCAACAACAATTATGGTTCCTCCTACGATCCTAACGTTTCTTGTGTTGATCATTCTTGACTTCCTTCTCTTGCGGCAAGATCTCGTGGACCTTCATATCCAATCCCACCCAGAACTTCCTGCCTCGCCACTCTACTGTTACACCTCCCCAGAAGGCGGTGACCCAGACTGGTAATGCGAAAATCTCGCGGCCGAGCCACGCAAATAAGAAGTCTACGAAGTTTCTCCTCGCGCCATCAAGTAGACTAGGTTCACCTGGTGTTTTATTGCCAAGCAGAGGTTCTAGAACCTCGGTACGGTGGTACGCAGAGGCTGATCGTTGAGGCAGGATGAAGTCAGGGGTGTCGGAATCGATCTCGACAGTCTTCGCGCAGTGCAGCAGCAGATACTGGACATAGTCTACAAGGCACCATGCGGATAGGTGTAGAAGCCAGATCAGGAAGAAGGAGGTCCATGTTGGGTTGATGCCGATGCTGTGGAAGAAGGGTAGTGTCGTCAGAGCATATGCGCCATACAGTCCACAAAGAATGCTTTCTGTTCCTGGCTCCACAAACGTCGCCAAAGTAACCGTGAACTTCCGTACTCGTAACCATCGAATGCGACGTTGCAGGTAGGCCATGACAGACGTATGGCTGATTGGCTGGAAGCAAAAGTCACCGAAGAGCATTACATGCTTGCCCCAAGCCTCCTTTGTCGTTCCTGGCTCGGGTTTGTAGCCTCGTTCCTCGAAAGCTTGAGGTTGCTTCCACAACACATCACCAATGAGATGGTCCTCGCAGATATTGTCAGAGAAGTAGTCGATACCGGGGGCGCGGTTCGGGTTCGATGAGGTAACGTAGTTGAGATGAGAGCGACGGAACATGGTGCTCTTGCCCATAATGCAGGGTGCCACAGCGACTGTGTTGATGGCTTGGTAGAATTTGGCATGAGCAGAAGACATGAAAGCTTCGTCGAGACGTCCTCCGCCGCGCTGCAGCAGCTTCCTGATAGTACTGCTGGAGTGATTGCGCGGATCGGAAGACGTGCTTGCCGCGATGCTAGTTGACTCAGCTACAGCTTCAGGCTTGCCTCCGAGCAATTCCTTCCTGTCCTGAAGCGAGAGACCTTGCGAGTCAAGATCTACCGTAAGAGGCGTCTGGTGAACGAACTTGTACTTTGTCTTCTTGTTGCCATGCTTGTCCTTTCCAAATCCACATAGCAGGTCCACCAACCGCCCGCAAACGCCCTTGCCGACCCAGACGTTGCAGTCAAGTACCCATACGATGTCGCCCTTGGCCTCCCTGTAGGCGCGACTCATGTTCCTAATCTTCGGATTGGGCCCCAGCGCGTTGTTATCCTTCAGTAGCAGCGGATCCTCCTCTTCGACCAAGATCTGTACATCGGCATCCGGGAAATCTTTGCATAGGTGCTCGAGGATCGGGAAGGCAGGATCGGAACGCTCGGGAATGCAGAACACGGTGTTCAATTTGTTTTTGGGATACGTCTGGCGGAGGGTGGCTGCAAGGCACTCGTACAATCGCGGATCGAGGCCTTTGACCGGCCGTATAACGGTGACCTGAGGGACTTCGTTCTCTTCCAATGTCGTGACGCATGTTGCCTGCTGGGGTCTCCTCCAATAGTAGCGGAATAGTTGGACGAAGCCGATGGCACAGACGCTCCAAACTATCACCCACCAAATCAAGCACCCGGTCGCAATGATGGTGCGCGACATGGAGACATCTTGTCCCGTCGCGAGGTTGGGCGCGCGAAGCATGCGCGACAATGTGGTAGGGTTAGAATGAGGGTGGGGTGTTGGCGAATCTCGCAGCGCGGAGGTTGCGGAGAACCAGGAAGCCACGACCGCCAAGACGCAGCACCACTCGACGATGTTCAGGGGTATTGAATAGATGCAGTATCACAAAGACAGGCAAAAGAGCAGACGTACTGCAGCTGTTAAAAGCGAAGCAGCTTCTTGTCCCACAATCGTTTGCACATCCGAACGGTCCGACTTCACCGCCAGGGACATCCATGGATCGCGATCGTTTGTTGCGATCAAACTTCCTGCACACCGACAAAGCAGTTCATCCGACAACAATTTCCATAGATGGCCATCTGTAAATCGATTACTCACTTTAGATTATGGACTCGTTCACTTTTCAAGTTAACCACCTGATGAAGGAAGTTTTATACAATTCGCGGACTTTCTCGACACGGAACATCATATAGCTTGTGCTTGAAATGAAGTCCGCAAGGACATATTAATACGTTAACACACTTTCGTGTGAGTGAGATAAAGACGTGTGTCAGCCAGAACACTTCGTTATACCAAATGAAGCCTTCCTGGAATCAAGTGAAATGCCATATACCGATTGAGCTCAGCCTTTCTCAAGTTTTCGGCTTCTTACGCACCAGGCCTGCTGTCAAAGTGTTCACCCCATTTGCAGCGCTTGCATTAGTAATGGGTGTGGGTTCTAGCTTTGCCTTCTTCCTGACTGTGCCTTCTCCTGGTATTTGCGCGGACTCTGCAGGCTTTTCTGCGCCAACCGCCGCTTCTGATGGGGTATCGGGTTTCCTCTTCTTTCGCACACCCATGACCATAGTAGGTGTCACGCCGTTTGTTGCATCCGAAGGTTTTAATGGAGCTACATACTCCTTTATCCCCTTGACTGTGAAGCTCCAATCGTCCATGCCCCCGAGAACAGCAATTTCCTCTTTCCACTTCCTCGTACTTCGTGCTGCTGCCTTTCGGTTTGCGAAACTCTGTTGCAAAAGGACCTCATGTGCGCGGTCATAGTTCTTAAGCGAAAAGCAGATGGTGCCACGTGAGGAAGCGGGCCATTTCCAGTATGGACTGTTCTCGGGAAGGTTCTTGGCGGAGCTCGAAGAGACGTTGGATGCCGTCGATAAGTTTGAAGAGCTGTTCTTGATCTTTGGCAGAACCAGGGGAATTGGTCCATACCTAGTTTTAGCCTCTTGCCTGCGTCGACTAGCCTTCTTCCGTTTTGGACTGGGCATGTTCTCTTGCGATTCAAGCTGTGAGAACGACTGCGACGCTGATTGCTGCGAAGGCATGTCCTCGTCTTCTTCGGGTATCGAAGGCTTGGGTGGTGTTATGACGACCCAGATGAAGCCTACTATACGCCCTGATGAGCACTCTTGCCTGAAAGCCATGAATTCCCAGAACTGGTCAAGTGTCTTAACGCTCTTCCAGTGCCCATTGCTTCTCGAAGGTGTGCCTCCATCTACTACCATAGCATCGGTACCACGATCGGGAAGTTCTTCGTCCAGTTCGTCAAGAAATCTGGCTTTCGGATCGTCTGGAAAGTGTGGTACGAGGCAGCGCGGTGGAGCGGCAGGATAGGGAGCGATTTGTAGCAGCGGGTGGGTGGCCACCCAGCGTCGCGGGGTATTCGAGACGGGAGGTGGAGGAATGTATCGCAGCGTGTCGTATGGCTCGAAGCCCGGTATCACCAAGTAGCCTTTGGCCGTGGACTCTGATTGGACTGACGTGCTGTCCGCCTTGGAGCCGTCATCATCAACCAGCCGTTCGGCGAAGGGCTTCCGCTCTCCTTCAGCCTTGTACTCCCATATGATGGGATCGAGCACTCTGCACCACCACTTCACCAAGCCTCTGTCATCTAGCACATGCTTGTTCTTGTTCTCGATGCTTGCCGGAAACAGGTATTGATCCTGTGCCCTGGCGAAGAGAGACACTACCAGCTTCTTCCCTTCCCTCTGTCGTTCTCGTGCTAGCCAGGATACAAAGGTTCCACAAATGGCTTTCAGAGGTGACGCAGACTGGGCTCGCGGTAATTGTAGTTCGGATATATAACCTGTCGAGTCGGCTTTGGAGACGAAGATGGTCGTGAGGTTTCGCGTGGTGTAGATCAAGACTTCAATTGCCAATATAAGAAGCTCCTCGGGCAGTTCCGAGGCTGCTCCATCTTTTGGAACTATCGACGCTGCCAAGGTCTGCGATTCGCAGTATGTTCGTTCGGACTTGCCATGGGGCGGCGCGGAGAAGAGGGCGGAGGACTTGGAGGGCGGTGTTGAGTAGTGGTAGAAGGTGATGGGCACGTCTTTTGGCAGTTGTTCGGCGAGTAACTCTTTCAGCGGCCTGGAAACCCCAGCGCTCGTCATGATGACCCAAGAGAAGCGCAGCAAGGGGAAGCGTCGCGCATCGGGGGGCGCACGATGGGGAGCGGCAAGCGCGACTGGTGCTAGCGTAGTTGCGGTAAGGCGCGATCCGCGTGCCGCAACTTTTCGATGATCCGAACTGACCTCCGCCAGCAGCATCACGCCCGCCCGCCGCCAATCAAGCCTCTCACACCTCGCTCACCACTTGGGAGCGCCACAATGACTTCCAAACGACCGCTCCGATCACTCGTCTCGACCGCTTCATCGTCACTCCGGCCCGCGCAAATATCCAGAACGTCCTTCGTGCGGTCCTCCGCATGCGCATTTTCGAGCACCACCCCATCGAGGTCCACGGAATATGACGCAGAAGCTACACCAGCCGTCGACAGGCCGCGGTGGAAACAGACACCTCCGAGAATGATGGCGCCTCACAGGATACGGCCGAAAGCCAGAGGGGGCGTTTACCAGGTCAATGAGGACCCGAAAAAGCTGGACGATGCGTATATACGCATGTTGGGCCCTGGAGGAGACAAAATACTGGGAGACGACGTAAAGTGGTTAGCCGTCACACACAAGAGCTTCGACCACGGAAGGAGAGGATTCAACGACCGATTAGCATACTTGGGTATGTGTGCACATTGCAAAGGCGGACAGACGGGAGGCTAATGTAAAGGGCAGGACGGAGGATAGTCGAACTACAAACAACACAGGCGCTCATAAACTCGCCGCAGGAGAATCAATGGCCGAGAGATCCCACTGGTGTACCAATTAGCGACGAGTTTGGACGCAAACCATACCTACACCCCGCCTTGAATGGGCTGCAAGGCTTGACTGACGAGGCCGAGAGTCTGGTCTTGAGCAAGACACGGCTAGCACCGATAGCAGAGCGATATCGTCTGGACAAGGTCACACGGTGGACACCCAAGAGGGTATGCTCGAACCTTTACAACACCCTAGTCCACAGGCTGACGAATTACAGGCGGACAACCTCCAAGGCTCTGGTTTTGAAACCGTCCTTATGACCTCTCTATACGCCATCGTCGGAGCGGTCGCTCTCGAGCGTGGCGGCGAAGTGGCCAACAAGGTTGTGCAAGAAAAGATACTCGCACCGCTTGGCTTCAGCTTCTCGCCCGAATCATGACCTGGACGCAATTCGATTCTGTACAAAACCACTGCCAGACTTTGTACCATATTGTAAACAAGAACTTGACATGGCGAACATCGCGATTTTCTAATCAAAATACGTCTTCGCCATCACCTATTGTCTCTCAGGTTACGGTCACATTGACATCACACCTAGTACGAATTGCCCGTCTTGACGAGTCGATTGAGACTTTTTATTTCTCGTGATCTGCTGGAAGGCAACACCATCGACACTTTTACACAGACTATTAGATGAAGACACAGATTACGTACGTAGACGAGGAATCGGGTAAGAACGGTGACTGTCACGATCCGCGATTCAAGCGGATGGCTTTAGGAAATCTCAGATGATTAACGTCATAGCGAAACTGTCGCTACGGGCAATAGACTCGTTGTCAAACATCACAGATCATAGCAAATTCCGTGTGGGTATGAACACAAAATAGCGTGAAGATTGCAAGATGCTATCCGAATCAAACGAGCCGCACACTGCTAGCCCAGGGTATAAAGACGGACACCTCCAAGAAGAAAAGAACTCTCGCGACCCGCTCAAAACGTTAGACCCGGCTTATTCTTCCTCCAAAACATAGCTTTTGCCGCGTTCACTGTCCGTGGTGGCGGGTCAAACTTGGGCTGTGCCTCCTCAATGTCCATCTGCTCCATCTTCCTCTGCGAGTTTCTTTTCAACTCCCTCTTCAAGTTGCGCTCATCCTTCTTGCGCATCCAAGTGATCCAAATGCAGTAGCTTGCGCAGATAATACCAATACCGCCTATTACACCACCAATTACCGCGCCGATGAGACCTTGGCTTTCCCATGCGGACTGCTTGGGGCGTTCGTAGGCTGCGGGCGTGGATTTCGGGCAGAAGGTGACAGGCATGACCATGTTGTTCTTTTGAATGGCTTCAGCGAGGAAGAAGTTATTGGTTTCGTAATCCGCCATCAAGTAGACTTGGCCAAGGAAAGCGGTACCGAGGTAGAATGGTGTGTCGGCTGACTCTTCGCGGTCTTGGATGGGCGTGATGTTGGAAGCGTTCATGAGGACTTCAGAGGGTAGCGTGACTGTAAAGCCATCCTCTAGCACTATCGAGAACGTGCCGTTGAAGGCATTCTTCAACTTCAGAGAATTATCGCCCCATGTGTTATCCTTTTCGGCTCCCAGTCGTTTGATGAAGTTTTGGGTAATCTGATACGGAAGGGAGAACGGAAACTGTTCAGTCGTAATCTGGGCCTCGAAGTCCTCTGCTCGTGTCTTCATGTCGGTGAAGACCGTGTTATCGAACAGTGATACGTTTGCGTTATCTTCGGAGTTAGTGATGACGATATCCTTGATGCGGACGCTCATCGGATTCGGATTGTCGATGTTCATGGCGTATTTGTGTGTCTCTCCAGTGAAGCGACCTGAGTCGTATCCCCCAAAGACATTGCTACCGTTAACTGCGCCTCCGGCGCGCTTGAATCCCTGTCCGATGTAGAGCGAGTATGTTTTCCCAGCAATGATGTCTTGTGCAGCTAGGTCCCGAAGGAGAGTGGAAGACAACCCCATGCCAACTCTTCCAGGTGTGATTGACCCCGATTCCGCGACTTCGATCGTACTGTTCTCTACCAATGTTTGTGATGCACCGTCCGTCTCGAAGTAATGTGTGTATAGTCGTAAGGTCTCTCGACCGAAGAATCCCGTGAAACCCTCTTGTTCATTGTCCAAGGTTTGGAAGTTGTCGTCTTTCACAAAACTATTCTACATGTCAGCTAACAAGTTAAAGTATCACATCGACAGTCAAGCATACCTAGTGGAGTCGCGGTCGTTATAGAAGCCCCCTGTACTCGTGGCACACTTGTCAAGAGTTGTGTTCTTGCAGTAGTTACTCGACGCGAAAGAGATGTGGTTCTGTTGTAGTGATGGCCAAAGACTCTGGTTCTGTGCTGGCGTTCCTAGTCCGATGAAGGATCCATATTGAAATTCTGATGAGTCGTGTACGGCCCGCTTGTGGATGTCGACGTATATTGGTTTCTTGGTGCAGTTTGAAGCAATTGCAGACTGAGTGAACAGCAAAGTTGCGGAAAGGCATAGAACGAAAGACGCCATGATGGAAGATGAGAGACGCTTGAGTCCAGCAAGCTGAAAGCAGGTAACAAGGTGTTGGACAACGCTTACAACACCAACAGGCAAGGTGAACGACGATGATGACGAAACGTCTCAAACTCGAGTTGCGGAGGTGCCAGAGGCTGTAGGATGTCTTTGTAGGCCTCCATCGTCTGTACCTTGATACACTAAGATGAGCATGCGGACAGTCAGCCAGTTAGGCAAGGGCCAAGCTATTCTTGCATGCGGGAATATCCACACTGCTTCTGCTGGACGCGCATGAGTGCATCCCTGGGCGCCATCTAGAGCCGCATGGGACTGAACCGCTGCCGAGAGCGCCTGCTGATGCCGTTGTGGAAGTACCACGACCTGGGGAGGTGCCCCCATGGGCGCTTTGAATAGAAACATGCGCAAGGAAGAAAGATGATCCCTCTCCGATGGTAAGCTTTGCCGTCGCAGAGACACTGATGATTGGATCGTTATTGTAGGCAGTTGCACCAAGATAGCGGGCGTTTACGAGACCAGGCTGATTGGGTAGGGTTGTCTCGCGACATTCCCAAGCGCCCGCTGCACGGACCCGACTGCAGGTGTGGATCTGACACCAGTCGCTATTCTTAGCCTCCCGCTCACTACAGTCTGCAATCTCAGAGGCAGGTAGATTGCGTACCCGCTCGGGGAGATTTTGATGCGTTTAGAGAGATACCCTCGGAAATAGCCGTACAATCTTAATCCCGCAACCCCGCACGCCGTTCTCGTTGTTGCTCACGGGCTAAAGTTTGTGTACAAAGTGGATGCGTGCCAGCATAAGGTATACTTGGAAAACTGCATTGATTCCGACTCGTTTTTAGAACCAGAAGGAACAGAAAGCCTGATTGCTCTGCAACACATGCTCGCGGGATAGCATAACTCTTTGACGGCTGCGTAGTGTGTGTCAGGGCTCCCTTGCTGGGGACGAAGGGGTGTAACAAAGCGCTTGCACTTCTACGCCATATGGAATACGCAGTGACTTCACGCATTCGTCTCAATCGCTGCACTGCTTGGTACAAGCCATATAGTATATGAGGTCCACTGCAGCGTGAACACGTTCTTCGTTGCGTGAATTTGACGACTTCCTATAGCTCCTGAATAAGCTCGATTCTCCACCTCCTACACAGCGTGTAAATATGGACTCACTTTGAAAGCTAAAATATCGCTTGATGATGACTTGGAGCACCTTGAACCTCAGCCTTGACCCCGTACTCCTTCACCCGCTATGCTAAAAGACTATCCCACATATTCCACAGGTAGTTGGCGTCGGGTTTTACCGACATGTATGAAAAGTTGATGTACATTAAGAGCAAAAAGGGAAACATCCAGCTGAACGCAACGTTGAGCATTGAGACTTTCAGGAGTTGACAAGCACCCATCGCTTCTCTTTCTCGGTAGGTCCTACCCTTGCGGCAACTACGCTCAAGGTGTTGCTGATGGCGTCCTTAGGCAGCTTTGGGAATACCTTTTTCAGCGCCTCAATCATGCCAATCTTGGTCAGATCTTTGCCCTCAATTTCGGCCTTGAAAGCTTCAAGTTGCTCGGTGGGCACCAATCGCTTAGCTTTTGCAGGCTTAGTTGGAGTTCCTCCTGTTGACTTCTGTGGGCCGTTCAATGTGTTGAGCAGACCATTCATAGAGCGTTGGACCAGAGGTACCCGCGGAGGGTTCATGGCGCTCTTAGTGTCTTTCTTCGCAGCAGCGGCGGTACTTGCAATGGTCGCAGGATCCGGTTCCCAGTATGCCGTAGAAAACGGATCGATTGAAGTCATCTGCGGATCCAGCAGAAACCCCATTGAGAACCCCTTGAAGTCGGTGCATATAGCATCTGAACTATCGTTCAACCTGGAAACCCTATCGGCATCCTCCCAGCACAAGCCGGTGCTGACAGGAACTAAATCACCGCTAATGAGTCGCCGTTTGAGTTGTGGGTCTTCTTCATCATCGAGGAAACCGTCCAAGTCGTCTTCTGCATCTTCTTCGTTGTCGTCTTCGCCGTCAGAGTCAAGGTCTTCTCCTTCCTCGGGTTCATCCCATTCTGCTTCAGAGTCGTAGTCATAATCGGTGTCCTGTCGGACCCTGGCAATGGGGTTTCGTGCGAGCCGAGAAGCTTCCGCGTCGGTATAAGGCCTGGTATAGGTGCCATAATACGGGGGACGTACATCCTTGCAGAAGTGTATGTACTTCATTGGGATCTCTCTGAGCATCTCCAACGGGCTTCTGTGGACAGTCAAATCGATGGGACGGTCCGATGAGCCATTCACACGTTCGATAACTTCGGCGATGGTCGCAGTCCGATGCGCTGGTCGAATCCGTCGCGGGAAAGAAGATACTAGGGTCTCTCGTGTGATGGTCTCGGTACCGGTACCGTTGTGCGCGATAAGGTTCTCTAGCCGTGTTCGCGCAGCCTCCAGCCGCTCCGGATCGTCGAGCAGAGGATTTATGGGAGCGAGGATCGTATGTGGAGGGAGGTTAAACGGTAGAAAGTATCGCTCGTAGTCTGACTGAGCGTTCTTGACGATGTTCTTCTGTGGGGATGGAGGGGCCAAATTAGTTTTGACTCCGGATGTGCTAGGTAAAGATGTGGACGAGGCAGTAGGGTTCTGGGATGAAGCTACCACGGCCTGTCCTGGGCTTGATCCCGCCTTTGGCTTGACGAAAAAAGCGTTGAGCTTCATTTGGGACTATCCAAAGGTTAGCACTGTTCGAGTCGTACTACAAGGACGATGGTCGACTTACTCGTGCCTTCTTTGCCTTCTCCTCCTCTACCCGTTGCTGTTCCTCCTCCTTCAGACGCTTCTTCTCATCTCGTTCCTCGTTCTTCTTGCGCTTCTCCTCTTCTCTCTGTGCCTTTTGTTCTGCCTTGACCTTCTCCTCGGCCTCCTTCTGCGCCTTCTTCTCTTCTCGCGCCTTGGCCTTCGCTTCCTTTTCTAGACGCTGGGCTTCTTTCTCTTGTGACGTCAACTTGCGCCTTTTGGCTGGTTGTGAAGGGGTTGGAGCAGAGACATTGCTGCTGTTTGGGGCGGTTGAACTCGGAGCGCTGCTCTTCAGGGGTGACGGGGTTTGAACCGAGAGGGTTGAAAGGGGCGTAGAGGCTTCTGATCGAATCTGTTTTGACGGAGTTGATACGGTAGGCTCGGCATCGTCGTCGTCGGTGTGTGGACGCTTTTGGGGCAGCGGCGCAATGTGTGTGGGGTCCTCCATAGTGTACGATGGTTGCTGAAAGTGCAGCCGATAGACTTTGCAGGTCTATCACGAGTCGATAGTGAGGGGGCCGACGCTCAATTCTGAAGAGGTTGTTGTCGTTGAACAAGCAGCGTGGTTGCGGTAGCGGACGTTGATGCGGGAGGAGACGCGAAGGTCGAAGGCGCGACGCGCAGCGCGTGGAAACCGCGAACGACTAGTGGGCTGATGTGGGCCTAGTGCGGGAAAGTGCGACTGGGGTGCAATTGCTCGAATGGCGTATACTTTAGCGATTTCATGCTCTGATTTCCTTTTAGCGTTACTGCGAAACGAACGCGAACATCAACACGTCGAGCACCACTATTGTACTCGTGCAAGACGTGAACCGGACAGTATTAAAGCGAATCTTGAGGCTATGGGCTTAGTGATAAACGCGCGATTAGAACTGCGTTTGCTGGTGTATCCTGCACGTGTCGTGCCTGCCGTCTCGCAGCACTCACGCCCCGACCACGCTTTCTATGGCTGCTATATCGAACTCACAGTAGTCGGCCACATACCTGCTAGCAGCTAACCCAGTATCCGCGAGGTTCCATACCATCATTCGCCTCTCTGCACTTCGCCATGGATACAAGCGATTTCGATGACATGTTGTTTGGTGAACATGACATGCAGGCCGCTCCTAGTGATACGGAAGAGGAGGACTCAGAAGACGAGTTCCTGTTTGCAACTTCCCAACGGGAAAATATACCGTGGGATGTGTGTAACAGCTCATCCTCAACCTCAACCAATGGCACAGCGCTATATGTTCAGGAAGCACCTCGGTATCACCATCAGGAGCACGCTCTAGGACCCATACGCGACAGGTTCTTCAGGCGCTCTCACTCTGAGCGGGTTATGACTAACCTTGTGCAGAGTTTGGGTGATCGCTCGTATTGAAGCGATGATAGAGTTGATTGTGGATGCTCAGCTAGAGGATCATGAAGCGCTAACTATCACGCTGAAGTCCCGTGCGGCTCTGTCTCGCAGACGATCTGCCACAGCCGACGGCCAAGAACAGACTCCCGAACCGAAGGAACGCGATATCAATTTTCCAGGAGCAAGTGCGCAAGAGGCATGGAACTTCAGTGTGTGAACCCGATCGTTTGTACATGTTGAGTACGTTAATGGTCGTGTAGCTGTACTAGTTCGTATACTCGAGCTTGTCCATGCCGGTCTCGTCGATGGTACCGTTATGACGAAGAGGTCAGCTTTGCCTTTGTATGATAACAACAAAAAGCTGACTTGAGGTAGGGACATGTATTATCGACATCCAGACTTGTTCATCAAGCAGTCGATAGTCGACCGATACGTGGATGACCTGGCTTGTACATTCGGCATCACTAGATCACAATTGAACGTGGTGCGCTTGTCTCGGTCGTCTCTCTGGAAGCACAGCTGATAGCCAATACCAGACTGCCGCCGCGAAAGGCCTGCTGGCGGGCGGCTTTAGGTTGACTCGAAACGATGGTCATCATATCAATGGCATGAGCGAGAAAGAGGTTTGACGAGCGTGCTGGCTCAGTGATACCTTCCTAACACATCAGCAGGGGATACTCGTTCCCAGTGTCAACGACAACGACAATCTCGACTTGACAGACGTGCAATGGGTTCTCATTGTCGAAAAGGAGGTATGGTCGATGCTTTGGGATCACTTATGTTACCGCTAATGCATACCTAGGCGACCTTTAGGTCATTGATGAGTTCACCACGGTGGCACACGTTGGGCTCGAGCGGAACAATACTGACTGTAAGCCTGACCGTGTCTGTTGCCAATGTCACCTAATAGCCAAGACAGGCGAAAGGATATCCAGACCTCGCTTCACGGAAATTTCTGAGTCAATTAGCTGCTAAGGCTTCTCAGATCCCCATGTATGCTCTGATGGACCTTGATCCTGACGGTATCGCCATACTATCGACGTACAAATATGGGTCTTATCGTCTTGCGCACGAAGACGTTACATCCACGGATACAGCCACACCAGGCTTGCCTAACATCCGCTGGCTCGGTGTAAAGAGTCACCACATGAGCGGGACTTCGCTAGGCGAAGTGCACACAGAGACGAGCACGAAATCTCAACTTCAAGGCCTGATGAGACTGACGGCGCGCGACCGCAACAAAGCAGCGCGAATGTTGGAGTGGAACTTGTGCGCCGAGGAGGGTCCCGAGAAGGGCTGGAGGCAGGAGCTACAGACAATGCTGATGCTTAACGTCAAGGCTGAAATACAGATACTTGACGAAATGCCAGGTGGATTGGTGTCTTGGTTGAGCGACAGGCTCAGGCAGACAACGGAACTGGTGCGCGCGCAGCGGATAGAAGGCGAAAAGCCAGACGACGGGATGCTCTTTTGAGATCTGGAGTACCGCTGCGAGGCAGATGCGCTTCCATGCGCAGGGTCCACATGTGTTACCACGTAGTCGTGCAAGACAGACAGATATCGAGCGGCGGGGATGTCGAGATTATCGTCGGAAAGATTTTAGGGTGTCAAGCCAGTGAGACGCCTCTTAGGGGCAACAAGAATATCCCAAGTCTTGCATGGCTACAATTGGGCGTCGCATCCCAAGTGGCATGCAACTCGTTCAATATGTCGGAATTTGCGTAGGGTGAAGCGGCAATGGCCCAATGATGGAAGGCGGGTGGGACAAAATAACCCGCCAAGCTTGGCGCCAGCGCATCTCCTCGATCACGGCAGCTCACCCAACAACTCAGACGGCGTCGCATAGCGGCAATGCATTGACCTGCAGCTACGGAACCAGAACCCACAACAATGGCCGGCATGTCTAATGATCCGCGCGTTCCCTTCCAGGCGCCACGGCTCCCGCACAGCGCTGCCCCTCCGACCGACTGTGAGCAACATGGCTCAGGTACCGCCGAGTCGAGTGCAATCCCACACCCACTGACGCCTGCAACGCCTGCAACGACCACCAGACAGTCGGTACCATTGGGCGTCTTCTCGACCCTCTTGGGGAACAACACCACGTCCACCCTTAGTGCCCAGCCTATACTGTCCGACGAGCCCGTCCTCGCCCACACGCAACCACTAGATGCCCCCGAGGGCCTGTCTGACTTGACGGCGAGCTCAGGCTCGGTGCCCAGTGCGGCTACTACCTTGACCAACACACTGCCGCCGACCCAGTCTGCTGCACTGCGCGCCCTGAACGCCCCCGCCTTCCATTCCTCGCCCACCAAGAGCAAGTCTGCAAAGTCTACATCCAGTCGGACCACCGTCACCAGCCAGCCCGTGGTAGTGCGCACATACTCAGGCTCGCGGCACGCATCCCGCTCTGGCTCCGGCTTCAACACGCCACGCTCCTTCGCCATGAACGGGCAGACACATGCGTCGGCCCTGTCAGCCGGTCTGGCAGGCAGGAGCGAGCAGCTACCCTCCGCTGACGACTTCTCTTTTTCGGCCATCCTTCGCGCGGTGGACCCTGAGATCAGAGACGCCATCGATGCCATTGCCGAGATCTGCGCCCGAAGCAGAATGAGTCTTGCCGACGAGTACGACTCTCACCTACCCCCACAAGGCGAAATAACAAGCGGGGGGTCGGGGTGGGCTGCAAGTACAGGAGCATTGGCCAGCCGAGGTCGTTTGAACAGGATCAGTCAAGGATGGACTGCCGCAGACAACACACTCATGGCAGTGCCTGAAGCGAGCAGCTCCAGCGAGCGCCTGGCGCAAGAGGGTAGGGCCGAGAGCAGTAAGAAGCGTAGTCAATCAGCATACGGAAGCTTGAAGAGCGTCATCAGTGGTGGGAGTGGTAAGAGGAAAGCCATAGATGGCGATACTTTCCGAGACCAAGAGGCTGGCAGCTCGAAACAGGTCGAAGCCCAAATCTCGGGGCCCGCTTGGGCAGTCCATGCATCCACCTCGTCTTCACATCCAGCAATCACCATTGCCGCTCCTACAGCTTCGAAACAACTATCACTCGATACATCGTCGGCAATGCAGAACGTTGGCAAGGACGCCAATGGATCATCCAACGGACGGCCTCAGACTGCAACACCACGCAGAACCCCTTCACACCAACGCGGAGCGTCTATGCGCAGTCTCCCGGCATCACGAGCACGTTCTGGTACCCTTGACTCTATAAAGGCGTGGCTACCATGGCCCCGGCCGTCAGATCTCGACCAGAACAGCCGGCAGGAGCTGACAAAAGCCGAAGACCGTCTCAGAAGCATGCTGATATCATCATCCCAAACCCTCGGGAAAGGTAAAGCAGCAGTGCGCGTCATTTGAGAATCGGATCGATTCGCATCTCCAAAGCGTTGAATACTTCCTTTGAAATTGTTTGTTACATATCGCAGATACCCAAGGAGAAGCTGAAAGTGTACGAAAAGTGGAGTGGCGGATGCTTGTGCTTTGAGTAGGACTCTTGCTCCGAAAGACGCAATGATGAATAACGTCTTATGATAATGACTAACGACAACAAGTAAATAGCTCGATGCAATAGTATAGAACAATTCAAGCCTTACTTACAGCCTTTGACGGCCTATAGTGGCTACCTCTTTTGGATTGGACAATCTAAGAGCTTCAACTCAACTAGCCTCTTCAAGTATCAAGTGTGCATTAAAACGTGGGGTAGCTGCTTAGCTCACTTCCATCTCCGCTCTCGTTGACGGTATCAAGCATCATGGAGTAGACATCAAAACCACGCCCTTCTTCAAACTTGAGACCAGAACAACAAGATGACACCCAAAACAAGAGAGACACGAGTCGACAGCTTCATTGACCCAACACTCCTCCCATCACTACACAAGCCACTCACTCTCCCCGACCTATGCGATGACGTCTTACTACTCATATGCGACTTTCTGGACCACCATCACCAGCAACACGGCGCGACTCCATGGAAACAACTCTCTCTAGCAAATCGCCGTCTCCACGCCCTCCTCGTTCCACGACTATTCAAAACCCTACGCATTACCGCGCCGCTCAAAGCCCTAGACACGGACGTCTTGATACCACATTTTCACCAAGCT